ATTTTCTCTGACCATTCAATCATTTCAGCAATTTTCAAGACAAATAGTGCATGGCGTAGTCTTGAAAGCAAGATTCAACTGGGCATAACCTCATCAACTAAAGTTGAATAACAAGACAGTAAACAGGGGTGATTCAAAACCGCGCCCATTCTCTGCCGGTCTGCGCCCTCTCCGACGAAACTGACTGAAAACTATCTCGCTTAGAGGACACAGACGATCAGAGAAGGGTGCAACTTGGCCAAACAGGATCCGGCCAACATGCAACAGAGACGCTATTTGTCCTTATATCGATACGGTAGAATTACCGTAACCGAGTGAACTAGTGGAAAACCAGTACAATATTTATTAGGCAATAATTAGAAAGACAGCAGGCATATAACATCAACGCACACAGACACATGTATGTATCACATTTGGTTCATTATGACGTATAGCAAGGAGAAAAGGGTCGGAGTTTGGGGGGGGGGGAATAAGACATGCATACGTACAAGTCGTGAATATTGCACAAATGATTGATCAACTCAAATTTGATCTACACGCTTTGTGGCCACGTGTCTCGTACGAAATGAAACAATAAAAATAGCCAGGAAAGAAAATGGAAAAAATGAAAGAATTATGTCAAATGAAAGAAATCAACAGAAGAAAGTTGTTGGTAAGACAGGGAGAATCACAAGTAATGTATAATGAGTCTCAATCAATACTTGCAAAGTGCATGCATGGGAGCGCACGCGTAAAATCGATAACACATATGGTAGCTCGACGGCAGCATGGAATAGAATGAAAGACGTATAATCATAGTAATCGATAAACGGTTAATAAGGTGATAATCACAGAACATAACGGACACCGTCAGCGGAACCATTGATGGTGGTCCTTACGTGAAAGACGTATGGTCATTGCACTTTGGTCAATTTCCACGAAAATAAACGACGAAAGAAAAAAAATCGATATTTACAACTCGCATAACAGGATTACTACTGAAATTGGTTGGAAATGGACACATGACCCACCTACGGTAGTCGAGATGACCACTATATGGTAAGCAATTGCACACATACACTGCACATCTTGTGAACCCAACGCGCGAATCGGTCTTATCGATTGGTTAGATGGCGCGTTAGACGCAAGATTACGGACCGTGCTGTAGTCATTGGGGCAAATAGAATCCCTCAAAATCAACAAGCGCACTAGAAGTCCGCAAAAACGCGTAAGTACAGACAGCGTCCATCTCAAAGGTAGTGGGCACGATTGTTGGAGGTGAACGTTGTTGGCAGCTCATTGGTGGAGGGGCTGCGACAGGGCGTTTGGCCACACCCCACTCGCCCCTTCCACCAATGAGTTGGCGACAACTGCCCTCCCCCGAGATCGTGCCCATTGCCTCTAACCATAAGTCACCAGTGAAAAGCTCTGCAATGTTAACTGAATACACCACGAACGGCGTTCCCAAGCTGGAAGCTACGTCCTGGGACCACTGCAGCTTTCCTCGCTGGAGCTGGAGAGAGGGCCAGAGCACAGAGAAACAGTTTTCCTCTATTTCTCTGCCCAGTGTTCATCTTTGCTGGGAAAAACTTACCTCAATATTACTAGTCCCCTAGATGTCACCAAATAAAATAGCATAAGCGAGAGACATTAATGAAGGCGCTAACTTATACATAATTATTA